TTAGCTTGTGAGCCAGGATAGTGAGCCAAGCAGGGGGGGGGGCGGCAGGGGTGGTGTTGTGTGTGTGTGTGTGTGTGTGTGTGTGTGTGTGTGTGTGTGTGTGTGTGTGTGTGTGTGAGGAGGGGGGGGTGGGGAGACCAGGCGTCTCGACTAGATCTCGATGACGCCTCGTCGACAAGCTCGGCGAAGGCGGCGGCGGCGGCCGCCTCGTCCGGCATGTTGAGCAGCCTCAGGAGCGCCACATCCTCCATCTCGAGGATCATGCCTATCCCCCGCAGCGCTCACTCACACAGCTCGGTCCGTGACAGGCAGTGCTGCGCCTCCCTCAAGGGGGGGGACTGCCAGTCATCTTGCCCGCGTGACGGCTGTCGAGGTGCTGCAGCACCTGCCCCCAAAGAACGAAAGGCGTGGAGACACCCGGCTCGCAGCCCCCCGGAGCGCCGTCTCGGGCAAGCGGCGACGGTGCAAGTGAGTCATCTCGCCGTATCTCCCCAGATCTCGACACGATGCAGTGAGCCGTTCCTCAATGACCGCAGCGCACCGCGTACACGCGCTCGCCCAGCGCCTGCTCGCGCTGCTCCTGCCCCATCACCAGCAGCCCCGCCGCCGTCAGCGGCGCCGCGCGCATCGACGCGAGCACCGCCGCCGCCGCCGCCAGCCGCGCCTCCCTCCGCACCTGCTCGCAGCGAGAGGGATGGGCAGCCGCTGCGCAAACCCCAATCGCATCGACAAACCTCTCCCTCCGCACCGAGCCCCCCGCCTCGAGGTCGCCGCTCGGTCCCCGGGGCCGAGCGTGCACCGCCAGCAGCTCCGCCGCCAAACCGCTGCCGCCAAGCCCGCTGCCGCTGCCGCCGTCGCCGCCGACACCGAAGCAACCGGCGCCGCCAAAGCCTGCGACGCCAAAGCCTCCGACGCCAACGCCTCCGACGCCGGATGCACCGCGGGCGGCAGCACCGCCCGCGGCAGCACCGCCCGCGTTTGCGACTCCGTGGGGTTCGAGCCCCACGGTGTGGAGGCCCCGGTGGTGGCTGTCGGCGCTCAGCCGCAGAGTGCGCTCCTGGGCGCGCCAGATCTCGATGTTCTCGTGTGCGAAGCTGAGCACTTTCCGCCGGACCTATTCACACCCGAAGGTGTGAAGAGGCGCTGCTCACAGCTCCTCTTCGACGTCGGACAGCTCCTGAGACTCGACCTGTTCACGGGTGGAGGTGTGAAGAGGCGCTGCTCACAGCTCGGCGGACAGCCGAGCCTCCCTCCGCGCCTCCTC